AAGGATTCAGTAAAAGGAACAATTTGGGCGTATACCGACCAATCGGTATTCAAGTATAAAGTGGTGCGAGAGGCAAGGTAAGATTCTATGAATGACAAGTGATTTAATTAACTGCCATAGCGCCCTCTAGTGGAAGAACATCCTTGATAAAAAAAACAGTTGGGAAATGAATTGTGCATTTTTTTATAACAAAATGTTGTTCTTTTCCCATTCTTGAAGCAGTCAACCTAGAAGTGGTCCTTTGTTTATACTCAAAACCTTATTGGTTAGTTTATTGAGTGTTTTCCTGGGAATAGTTTAATGTGTTATGTTAGAGAGAAATCTCACCAGAATGCTTTTTATTGTGTATCAGAACTCAGCCTGTGTTCATTTCATGCCCCCCAATGCTACATTTTTAAAGGGCAAGGCAATAATGATAATTTACCTAATATGTAAAAGTAAAATTATAATATTTACTTCTTAAAACCTATTAGTTTGATTGCTATAGTATTTGGTTTGTGGATGGACATCTTTGAAATTTGTAACCGCATAGCAATTGCCATAGCAACAACCATATAAACTACTATTGGTGTAATATGACAAGAACATTCTACTAACATAATTGTACAAAACAAACATTATTGTATTGAATTTTCCTCTCCAAAATTGTTACGTCCTACAAAAAATGTTATCGTAAAAATACTGCAAAATGCCTAAAGGTAGTACAGCAGTCATATCAACCCATGCATATTGCTACATGTATACGTTGAATTGTTCCTTTCAATGGTAACTTATAGAGTCACACGCAGTAATTTCCCGAAATGCCAACAACAAAAAAAAACGTTTCACAGAGTCATGCCTGTTAGACAGGATTTCCAATCTGTCTCACATCATTTGATGTAAATAAAGGAAAGTGTTCAATGATACTGACATCGTTTACAAATAGAGAAAATTTTGAACATCAGAGTGAGTGCAAATATGTTTTGAACAAACGCAGATACGACTGTTTGTGAAATTGTGTATTGTGCATGATGCTGAATGTATATTAATATTTCTGTTTTTACAGAGATGTTTGGCAGATGTATTTGGACAAAGGAGACTTTGAGAGGGCAAAGGAGTATTCCAAAGAAAACCCAGCTAACATGGATAAAGTGCTGACTAAGCAAGCTGAACATTTTTTTCGAGAGAAAAGGTAAAAGTAGCTTACGTCACTCTCCCATGGATTCTGACATGATAGTTTTAAGTTTATCGATGGTTTTAGAAATACTGTGTGATTTATTTAATGCTGTGAAATGTATGATTATATAAGGGACAATTTTGGAATACAATTCAAAAGCTTTCTACCGTTCTCAAAACATTTCCATATTTGTTTTTAACTTTTTGAGTGTCATTGTCAACTTTAGGCGCCATCTACAACATGATGTTGTAGTCTGCTCCTCTCCACTTGAAATGTTGATAAAAAAGGACAAATCTTTTGGTTGGATACTAAAAGCAATATCTGAAACTGTCTTTATGGTCCAAAATGATGATGAAATTAAAAATTACAAAATGTGAAAACACTAAATTTTGGCGGGAAAAATATCTAGCTCTCAAAGATTATTGGATTACATGAGTAGTACACAATAATTGGTAAATGAAATTTGTACATAAAATAAACAAAATGATAAAATTTATTTTACACACAGTATTTTTTTATAAGAATTACATCATTAAGGACTGACAATTTGAAACCTAATCCTCTCAGTATTTATGTTACCAAGGTGATTTTCATTTCCTTAGTTATGAAAAAAGCGCAGTGTTTTATGCATTGACTGAAAGATCTTTTGAAGAAGTGGCGCTGAAGTTTATCCAAGTTGATCGTAAAGATGCTTTGAAAACCTTTCTTTTAAAGAAACTCAATGGGCTGCATAATCACGTAAGTTTTGAGATATTATTTATATATAATAATTATACATTGCATAAAAATTCCGATCAGTATGGCAAGAGTTCTCTTGTTGAAGTGTGTGTGGTTGCACTGGCTAGAGCTGTTCAGTTTGAACTTTTACGAGATAGCTCATATAAATTTCACAGTGCATAGTGAACACTATTGAGACTATCGTGAATAGGGTGTGGACGAGTAAACTACTTTTGGCGATCGTGAAAGGTGTTTATAAATACTCCTTTTGCCCTTGGTTTATGTTTCAAAAATTGCGAATCACTATCTTTCTAGAAATAAGTTTGCTTTATAAATTGATTCATTGCAATCACAAACTTTTTATTTTATTTCTTAACAGGAAAAGACCCAGATGACAATGATTACTACCTGGTTAATAGAACTATATTTAAATCAACTTGGAACTTACAAAGACCAAGGTGACTCCAATAGTTACCTCATCTTGCAAGAAGAGTTCCAAAAATTTCTGGCTCATTCAAGAGTGATCGTAAGACTAATTTTTAATTTAAATCTATATTAGCATGTTACCATGGTAACGGATTAACTTTTACTTGTGTTTCTGCATAACACTTCTCCCATAAGTCGTGTCCTGATATAGCAGAATACAATAAAGTGTGAAATATTGTTTGAAATTCTTTATAGGATTGTCTGAAGCACCACACAGCTACTGCTTATGATTTAATAGCAAGCCATGGTGATGTTGAGGATTTAGTTTTTTTTGCTGTTCTCATGGAAGGTAAGGCCAAAAAGGTTTCCCTTCTTTTCTTTTTGCGGTAATGAGATATCTTTAGATCTTAAACTAGATAAGGTGTTTCTACTTCAATGACATTTTAATTAGCATTGCTTTTATCACCATGGTAATGCAAGATCCAAATTAAAGTTTATCTCTAAACTTTCCAGATTTTGAGAGAGTTATCAGTCACCACATACAGCATGATGATTACATTTCTGCACTAGACGTGTTAAAAGACCAAACTCAGATGGAACTGTATTATAAATTTTCACCGATATTAATGCAGCATATTCCGAGGGAGACTGTAGACGCATGGATCAGTCAGGGACGGAGATTGGCACCAAAAAGACTCATACCAGCGCTTGTACATTACGATGAAAATAGAGATACAAATAAAGTAAGTATGGGTCGCTGAGATGAAAATATGGTGTAGAGCATTTTTTGCTTGCAAGCTGATCATTCTACCCTTGACTGTGAAATTCACTTATCTTTTGTGGCATTCAACATTTTGTATTGTAATGTCACATGTTCAAAACCAGGATTTTGATTGGTCAGATGAGCCATTGATTTATTCCTGGTATATCAATCAAATTTTTGCATTAAAAAACATGATTTTTTGTCCCCGTTCGAACACAGTCCCAAAATAGGACTTTTGTTTGACCTTTATTCATATATCTATGCGTCTCCACCTGAATCTCACACATGCTTCATCCAATCACATTCAAACTTCATTAATTCATCTTGGGCAACATTTGCACGTTCATGATCCGATTCAAGATTTTTGTTCATACTCATTCATTTGCTTAATATCTGATTCAAGATGGCCAAATTGTACGTATTTTTGTGTTCAGAATTCCTCAAAATCATTTCATCGTTTATGGCAGTAAACAATGGAACACTATTTGAGAGAAAAACAAAACAGTCATGGCTTTTTTGCTCTCCCTGAGATCTTGAAGAAAATTTGAAAATGAGTTTTTATTCTCCCGTGGTTAGTCGATATTGTAATTTTATGTTATTTGTTTTGTTTTTTAGATCCATGAAGCAATTAGATATTTAGAATTCTGTGTGCATACACTTAGCATTGAGGATGAAGCTATACATAACTATCTGCTTTCACTGTATGCGAAATACCAAAAAGATCAACTCATGAAATATCTTATGTTTCAAGGCAATGTAAGTACATGTATTCATATTTGCACTGTTAGTGTACTCAATCCATCCTTTATAAAACAATTTTTTATTAGCTCCGCTGTCGACTTAGCGGAGCTTATCATATGAGTGATTGTTTGTGGCCGTCTGGCGTCCGTCGTCCGTGTCAATGTTTTACTCCAATTGCTTTGATATTACATATATAGGTACTACATGTGGACCTCTCTCAGATTTGTTCATTTTGTAATGATATCTTTAATTCTCTAATTTTGGTGAATATTTTTGTCATTTTTGGTAAAAAGTGATATTTTCGACTTCTTGTTAAAAACCACAAGTCCAATTGCTTTGATATTACATATATAGGTACTACATGTGGACCACTCTCAAATTTGTTCATTTTGTAATGATATCGTCAATTCTCTAATTTTGGTGAATATTTTTGTCATTTTTGGTAAAAAGTGATATTTTCAACTTCTTGTTAAAAACCACATGTCCAATTGCTTTGATATTACATATATAGGTACTACATGTGGACCTCTCTCAGATTTGTTCATTTTGTAATGATATCTTTAATTCTCTAATTTTGGTGAATATTTTTGTAATTTTTGGTAAAAAGTGATATTTTCGACTTCTTGTTTGTAAATGCACACCACAACAAAAGTAGAGTAAAAAACACATATTTTATTGCAAACAGAAAACTGAATAAAATTTGCACTAACTACAAAATACAAAACTATAAAAAATACAAGACTGTAAAAAAGGTTGGGCAGGGGGCTCCTTTGATCGGTGGGTACCAAGGTCACGCAGGACCAGGGTCACACAAGGTCAAGGATTTCCTGCAAGAGCCGAAAATTTGGGGGGTGGCCATGAAAATGGTGCCAGGCAGCTGTGCAACCCAGGTGGATGATGGGAATGGACTGCGATCCAGTTAAGAGCATGAACATGGTGACAGGGGAATGTTTGTAGGGAGGAATACGCTGTACTCTCGACCTACGCTGTCAATGTAAGTGGGAAAAGAGGAAGGAACACTCGGCCCAGGGGACATGTAAATGGCGACCTGGGGGAGTTGGGGTCCTGGGTGCCAGGCAGCTGTGCAACCCAGGTGAATGATGGGAATGGACTGCGGTCAAGTTAAGAGCATGTACACAGTGAAGGGAATGTTTGTAGGGAGGAATACGCTGTACTCTCGACCTACGCTGTAAATCTAAGTGGGAAAGGAGCTGTGCAGCCCAGGTGGATGATGAGAGGGAGGCCTCCCACAATATAGTGATTTCTGATTCCCGCCAGGTAGACTTTGATTGTCATGAATTTGAGGTGGAGAAATGTCACACAGTGAGCGACAAAGTAGATCAGAATGTCCTCGGAAATTGGTGGGTGTGTGGTGGACCGACCCTGGATGCCAAACATGGCAGTGAATCGGAACCATGTACATACTCCAGTAGAATATGTTCCGAAAGTCCTTGTGCTGAGTGATGCATGTTGACAAGCCGCCACTGCTTGATTTAGCCGAACATTACCACGGAGGGAATTTGGCATGGAGTTGCACTGGCTGTTGGGGCTGCCTCTCGAAATCGTTGGGCCTGGAAACGAGAAAGAGAATCAGCAATC